CGTCTTTGTTGATCCTCTTTGTGTACTCAGATTACAGAACCAGGACCAGAGGAAGCGAAAACTGTTTGTCATGTAGTTTACATTGCGTTGTATTGAAATCAAGAGGTTACTGTCCCAAATATTTGAAATGAATTCTCCGACATCGCCTCGTCATGTGGATGGGTTTCATTAAGAAAGTGTTCGCCTGAATAGCGTTTAACATTAAATAGTTTATAAAGCTGTTAAGAAATAAGAGTGGTGGAAACACGCCGCTTATTTTGTTACTTTAAAACATCAGTAACTGCCGACTTTTAAAATGAGGACAAAATATTTCATGGAAGGCAAATATTTTTAAAAACAATGTCCTACTTAAGTAGGTACTTCTCCAACAACATTAGATCGTAAAAACTTGAACAAAATAACAAGAAAGAAGTTTTACATTTTCTTCTTCACAGGTCAACAATGAAAACAAATAACACACCGATGAAGCGCAAATTCCAAGGTGGCTGACAAATGTAAATTTATGGAGATTGCTTCCCTTCTACCATTTATTTACAGGTGGACTAAAATTCCAATTTTCACTCAAATTGCTATAAGCTTTAAGAAACTCATGCTGTGAAGATTCGACAAATGTTTCGTGTTCAGTGCTGCCTCATAAAGTATGTTTAATGTTTACAATAAATGATGATGTTACAATAGTTATACACGGGTAATGCATAATTATTTATACATAGATAGTTTAAATGCGTATTGTAGCGCTTATCAACCAACGTGATAAAATAATATTTATTATAATAAAATAATATTTCCACAACATGATATTCATGCAGTTTATGACAGGAAGGCATAATTAGATACAATGGTCATTATCACCCAGATATACTATTAGCCGGCTACGAAAGGAAAACCTACATATTTGAAAAGAACATTTTAATCCCATATCATAATCATGCGTTTAAGTGTTTACTGCTGAGCAAAGGCCTCTTCTCACAGGGTGAAAGGTTTTTAATATAAATCACCACACTTGCTGAAGATTGATTGGCCATTTCATACTTTTAATTAGATATTATCAGTCGAGGTTTCCTCACGATGTTTTTCCTTCACCATTTATCCGTGGTATCTAAATCAAGTCAGAAAGGGTATATGACTCGGAAAAAGTCATATTGGTATTTGTCAGGAAGCTCATAGATACCTTAACCTCGGGGAAACGACCACCACGCCAACTTTCATGTCTCATTTTTTAAATGGACACAAATATTTCTAAAATAGAAATTTTTTTTTTTTCGTATCTTAAATCAAATTATTTTGGTAGATTTGTTTCTTCATTACGTACCAACACATTGTCAGAAATATAGCTTCATCATAATCTGGCATTGTTATCAAATTCATAATAGTCACGAATTTATCTAAGCTCAGGGTATTACTGAATTTTCGATGTCATAACAATACACCTGTCTGACAAGCTTCTAACGCTCACCTGTCAGTGGCTTGACCTGCAATTGTCTGATATGACCAATACATGGATACTGACTTAGGTAACTATTATTATTGTAGGTAGTACATAGAACAACAGTCACGACAGGTCGCAAGCTCTGAATAGTCAATATCTGCCGAATCTTAAACAGCTAGTGAATTGTTTTGTTTGTTTGTGAGTTAACAATTTATTTTTAATTAATGATATGTATTGAATATTCCTAATACATAATGTATATTTATTATTATGAATTATGAATGTCTGCCTACCTCAAAATAAACTAAAATAAAATCTGCTTTGACGTCTGCGCTGTGCAAAAGGAAACACTGCACTGTAATTAACTCTGAAGTCCATCAATATTAAGGTCCGGACGTTGACGTGACGTAAAATGGCAAAATTGTGTTAATATCATCTTTGTATAAATTACAGTGGAAAATGGACACATCCAGAACCCTCCAGTGTACGTAATACACGGACACTTTTACAAAAAATGCTCAAAATAGATTGCCAAAATCTCGCACAGTATAAATTGGCTTTCTCGCTCACTGTTTTGCCTGCTGTTATCTTCATAAGTCACTCTATCCACTGCAACACTGATGGTGCAGAATGCATAAAAATCAATTCTGTAAAATATGAGTTTGTGGTGAACAAACAGACACTACTGAGGGAATGTCCCTACCTAGGCTAACTCTTTTCATACATACATATACGTTTGAACAAGACAATCGTTTTTTTTATGGAATAGGAGGCAAACAACCATACTGATCACCTGGTAGTAAGTGATCTGCGCCGCCCTTGGATACCTGCAGCACCAGAGGGAATTACAGGCACGTCGCCGGCCTTTTAATAAGGAAAACTCGTTTCACACATTTGGTATATACGATTCTACCAAAAGGAGCCAAGCAAAGAGTTAAGCTGCTAGCAATAATGAAGACATAGAATCGCATCGTTTTTTTCCCAGTAAAGATCAATTAAAGGTTTATAAAATATTTAAAATGTATTTATTGCCCATCCATACGTAAGCTGCATGCTATCGCATGAGTTGCCAAAAAAGGGCGAACACAGGAATTTTAACTGTGTAAAATCTAATACTTTACGTATAATATTGACGTAATAATCATACCTTGTTATACTAAATACGAATTATTTTATAACGTTAAACAGGATAGTTTCTAGCTGAGATGAATTCCTAACATTACTCGACACAATTTTTAAAATTAATTATGTGTATATCGACTTACTAGTTGCATATTTGGCATTATACTGGCAAGTCATTAAGTGCGGGTAGCTGCCTTAAGCGCGCTCCTATCCCAGACCAACCAGAACCAGACCCGATTGAATAGCTGATTTGATGACTTATGTTTTGAGGCATTCACAAAAAAAAGTACTAGTCAAATAATAAGTTAGGAACGTGACGTTTTTAATCAACTGCCAATCTCTCTCGCCTTTCAACTCGCCCTCACAAAAACACTGATAAAAAAAAATCACTTATTTTAGTCTCCAAAAATTTAGGAAAAATTTGCTTAGACAGAAAGTCTTCAATTAAGATCTTGTCGCAAATTCCACAATGGCGGTCCTATGTAACAATCGTAATCAATTAAATGAAACATTGATCGATTTTAATTAATTTTAGGACTGAAACAGTATTTGAATATCAAATAGACTGTATTTGGAAATCGATGATAATGAACAGAGACAACGGCTACACCCGTTTCAAACGACATTTTTTAATTACAATTTGACTAAGCATTATTTCATTTTAATGATAGCTATATTCTATATTTATATATTCTATATTTTTTCGTTGAAGGTTGCTTTATTTTTTAACATGTCAAACTATCAAATCATTTGAAATCATATTTTTTTATAAAATGAGAGTACTTTTCAATTTTGTTAAAATAAACATAGCTGTTATTATATTTGTTTGATTCTCTTTGTTCTAACTGTCGAGTAGTATTAATTAATAATAATAATATGAATGGAGGATGAAAAATATTGGAAATATTTAATGACCTGTTAGCATTCCGTCTTCGGTATTTTCATATTTGTATAGAAACAAAAATATTCGACTTTAAAGTATCGTGTAACGTCATTTTAGGGACGTTAGAGGAATAAAATGGTATCTTAATTTTTAATTAATTGTACTTAACTGATTGATGGTCGTCAGCCCTAATCCACAATCTCTAAATAATTGCACGGTTAAGAGCATATATAAATTTGTGAATTCATGGAAGGTAGCTTGTGGTACCTATGCAACCTAAGTACACATATGCTAGAACCTTCTCATGCAAATTCAGTTAAGTACAGTATGGCGGCTATCTCTGAACCACGTGCTTACTTAAAGTTTCAAGACATTCACTAAGTAACTCGTGGACGGTTTACGGAGTCAGAAGGTTAACCTAATTTTACGTCAAAGGATCAAGGACTTGACTTTTAGAAGACATTAATTTAAATACCTACTTAGTTTACTTAAGGCACATTTTAATGTAGCTTAATTATTTTCATTTTGGGCTGTGGTATTGTTACTATGTTATCTAAAAAGTATACACCTGAGACGTATATCATTAATGTATTATTTTTTTGGATTAAGGAGTAAAAGACTCAATGCCAATAATTTTAATTGAAATAAAAATGTATTTTTTATTTATTTATGTATTATTCAATTGGGTTACTTAAGTAATAAGCAAACATATTTATTACAAATGGTTAAGATCCAAATTTTTTATGACTGTTTTACGGTACCCTGTGTTAAGACGTCACGTTGTATTTAAAAATTGCCGGCTAATTTCCAAAGACATATGTAAAAAAAATAGATAATTATTTGGTACTTTTAAATTTATCAATTTAAATTGTTATTATTTTTGACATTATATTGCATTAAAAGAATTATTTTTTACTAAGAATCGTGGGTCTATTAATCTAATACATTCATTATGGTGGAATAATTTTAAATCATTTAATAGGTACCTCCTGTGGAGTAAAATCAATCTGGACACATAAAGAATGAATAAAGAAGAACGAGCTATAAAAAACAAAAGATATAAAACACAATTTCTCAAAAGAGGTTACATTCTATTCGATGTGCAAAAATTGATAGCCTATTGCCACGTTGAAAGGCGATGTCAACTGCTATATTTTCTAAAGACTAATAGAATAACTACCTAGTCTAGAGGTCTTAACCTATTGTGAAGACGAGACCCGTGTTGACGGTATAAAAGGAGAGGTGAACATTGATTTGACAAGGGTATGTTTAATTTCCGCAGTTCGCTTTGTTTTAACACCTTAATATAGTAATTATTATAAAAATACTATGCGAGAAAAGTTACTTTCTAGTCAAGGTTCTTAAAAAAAGTTAGTCTCATTTTTTTCATATACCTAGAGGTAAAAATGTTTAGAAATACTTAAATTTTCGAAATTAAACGATAAATTTAGTTTTTCATTCGACGATAAAATATTTATTTATCATTTTCGATGGTTAGTAAATTTATTTTGCTCTTAAATAATTAAAATTAATTGCTACAATTATTTTTTACACTATAACACTTACCCGCTATCAACAAGCCACTCAGTATTAAAACAATCATAATTACGAAATAAAAAAGACAAAAATATTCTATAAATGGAACAACTTCCTTTTTAAAAATTTCTTCGTGTGAAAATAAAAATACATATATTTATTGCACACTCTTTAAAATTCGAATCGCAAAATGTTTCCGACTACAACTCTGTGCGTATCGGCTAAGAAAAGACCGCGTACGTTCCCAGCGGGATCTCGCGCCAAACTGAACATAGAGTGGGATCTCTTTGGTCCTCATCGGGAGCAATCCTTTACACGGTTGCCAACATCAACGCAGGTCATACGGTTAAAAACCAACTGTTATATATATCATATATCTAACACACAAATAAATCTAGTTACGGAAGCTTTGTACGTTCAATTCTTTGAAAAAGCTTCTGCCTTTATGAATTTTTGACAAATTCTGTTTTGGTTTATTCAACTGCCTCTGTATATTGTATTTGCAACAATTCCAATATATTTTTCAACGAATGCATTTTTTTTATTTAGAAGTTACTTCATATGTAGCTAACTAAAATTTCAGTGTAAGTTTTTTTTATGTGATTGGTCGGCAAATGAGTAGACTGATTACCTGACTGTAACTATAAAGGAGTGACGAGTGAGTTGCCGGATAAAGCGCTTTGGGAATAAGGGTTTCGGATGTTTACGAATTGGGAAGAGATGAGGCAGGGGGAAGGATTGGGCCTCCGGTAACCTTACTCACCCGGTGAAACACAACGCTGCGGTTGTTTCACGCCTGTGTTCTGTGAGGTCGTGGTATCACTCGTCGAGGCGACCGATTTGTGCCGAAGTTTGGCTTTTCCACTACCACCACCACTTAAAAAGTTTCACCTTTGTTCGATGTTTGCACTCCAATCACGAGGATGCTGTCGAAAGAATGAAGAAAAATGTTTGTCAAGAAAACTTATTAAACTTACAACCGCTACAGCGAGGAAAAGTATCTTACAAGAAAAGTATTTATCGTATTTTTAAAATTGCATTTGAAAAGTATATTTTCCTTGATATTTGATAATAAATTACTTACCAAAATTAAAAAAAAAACTTATCATACCTATATAAAAATGTACACTCAATAAGTTTGTATTTTCTAAACGAGAAACCGGTCCAAACTTGAAGTAAAACCTTATTTTACTTAACGTTTGTTTTTATAAAATACCATTTTACGCCAATTTCCTTGCACAAGAAAGTTAAAGAAATGGAACGTTAATGGATTTACAAGAAACAATTAGTTTTAATTTAAAATTAATTCATCTACTGCAACATGATTGCTTATAATCTTTTCTATGTTAAGTTGTTTGCTTTATGCTTAAGGAAGAGATAGTATCATTCAATTTTATCATGCTTTGAAGTGTCCCATCCTAAATATAATTTAATTATGTAAATTTCAGTATCCTCTATTCTAATAGAAGGAGTATTATTATTATTTTCATCTTATTTACATTCACGTTTGGAACCTTAATAAATCTCTTGTAATTGGGTGTTGTAAATGTTCGGTTCTGTTCTGTGTGAGTATTATTATTATGTTGTGTTATACTGTTTAAATCTTGCATAAATATTATCTATGCTATTGTACACACAAACACACACACACACACACACACACAAACACACACACACACATATATATATATACATAATTAACTCAATACACTAATATAACTTTTCGTGACGGAAACAGATATTCTCAATGCTTTTAAGCCATAAGGCTAGAGAGAATATGTGTGACTTTACCCTCCTCCTTTCGAAAGAACACGTGTTTAAATATAGTATCATGATCATGATGAGTAAATGGACTCGAATAATCCTAAGATGTGTATCTAGCCAATAAATGGCAGATTTCCCTCTATAAAAAGGTTCTAATAAAGTAATGCCGAAAAATGTTTGGATTATACAGCACAGCTTTAGCTAAACAGCCCTGAATACAGTGATGTATTTAGTTTTCAGGTGTAAACACTTGGTAAGCCACAAATTTATCAAAAAATACATTTATTACAAGATTAGGAGTTAATTTTAAAAAGGTATTTGTTTCAATCATTCAAAATAAATAAAAATGGGTAACTCGATAAACCTTACCTAATATTTTGATTTAATTTAGGAACCCATTCTGAATACCCTAGTTCGATCAACAGTAGCTCTTTTTACAATTGTCGGTACATATTGTTAGTCCATGATAAAAAAAAGTAAGATTATTGATCTTACTTTTTTTACACACACAGTCCCTAATGACTTTATTTTTAATTTGTTAATTTCATATTGTATTGCAAAGTTAGCATGAAATTAATACGAAAGACAACGAAAATAAAGAAAAATGAATAGCCGGACGCGAATGGAGAGATACCACGACGTGGAATAACGCATGCATGTAATGTGTCTTTCCGGATTCCCTCAATCTGGAGGTCTGATTCCTAACTCTCGAGTCAGCAATGCACTTCCAATTCCTTTCCTTTTGTGTTGTGGGTAACTATCGGAGGCACCGATTCCTTACCATCAGCATCTGGCTGCTCGTTTGCGTCCATCTATACATTTACCCATCTACATTAATTAAAATAGGCTACCAGCCTATATTACTCTTTAAGAAAAATATTTTATTATTGTACAAATACATAGATACGGAATTCTGTTTGGGTTTATTGCAACCGGAACAACAATAGGTATTACATTATTTTAATTTATTACTGGAATTTTGTTTCCAGGGTTCAAATGGTAAACCATTACGAGGGCATTCGCGTATTTATCAAATGTTTAATAACGGCTAGCTTGGTATTACGTGAATTGCTAAACAAAAGTGAACCTTAAGTACACCCAAATATTTTTCAGCGGTTCCATTAATAATATTGCTCACTTTATTACGGAGAGACCCCAAATAAATAAAACTATTTAATACAAATATCATACTATATAGTTTACTTGACTATAAGCAAAGCCAAAATATTAAGGTTAGCTGTCGCACTAATAAGCTATCCACAATATGGCACTGATATCATATATTGTTACAATAATACAAAGAAAATATATCACAGTATTGTTTCAACAAAAATAATGTGCTAACAAAATATTCTTCTTTGTCGTTAACCAAGAATGATATATCGTGTCTGGTAACACTCTGTGTCATCTTAGTTTATTACGTGGAAGACAAACAGTATGGCGTTCTAACAGTCTAATGAAATTTTATGTATTTATTTTTCCTATGCGTCTTACGACCCTTTTTCATAAGGACCCTGCTCATACAAGCTTGCGCAGCCATTGTAGTGTGCAACTATTATGAAATAAAAATATAAATAGAGTAGATCAAGTAGAGCAATTAAAATTAATATACAATTAGAGTAGAAATACGCATCACACCATATCATCAGCCTATAAATGTCCACTGCTAAGCAAAGGCCTTGTGCTTGCTCAAGGCGGATTCCCTATATTGTAAACTTATAATTAGATATTAGAAAATCCAGGTTTCCTCCCAATGTTTTTTCTCACAGTAAGTATGTCAGTGTTGCCAGGTTTCGAAACTCACCCTCATGCATGAGAAGTGGTCCACATGATCTTAAACACTAGAGTTGTTTTAATCTCCGAAAACTACATAATTGTGCAACCAAGTCTCACGCCATTGATGTGAGCCAAAGTGCATAGAAATTAACTCTACATACAAATGTCTTCATGAATGATATGCTAGTCGTATTAAATTCTTAAAGGAACTGATGTTAGTAGGTACATTCATGTCAGATTTAAACTGCTTATATTCAAATTTTCAACTAATCAGATTAAACTAACGTGTAATTTGATTTGAATGGTTATGTATTAGGAATCATACCATACCTATAATAATAATTTAGGTACTAAATAATTTTGTTCTATTGAAACAGGGCTCTAAAAATGAGAACGTACATGTGTTAGTCGAGAAGCAAATAAAATTTAAATGAGTCTAGTCTGTATAGTGCTTGCAAACACGAAGGCAAAATGTTTGAAGCATTCCGATTTTGAATTTTTTACTAGTGTATCTGTGGCCGGCTTGCCGCTTATGGCTCTTCCTAATGGAGCAGTAAGTGGTAAAACCGGCAAATAGGATATATTTAAGTACCTAATCGACATCTTTTTATATAATACATTGTCAATTGTTAACGTTCCACTTGTATATTTCACTAGCTTCTGAAAGCGGCTTTACCCACGACACTTAATAACTAGTACTTACGTCTATGAGTAATCTAACCTGTAAGTACTTACCCTATTTCTGTGCTGCTGCATAGTACCTAAAGTAATTTTCACTTAAATCTTTTCAGTAATTTTTCGCGTAAAATATTCGTCCATCCTTTTTTCCTGTCTTGGATAGGGTGAGAGGGAATGTTAATGACTAAACACCACCCTAGTCGAATAACGTCATTGCCCTTATGCCCGCAATCTGGGCCAAGAATCCTTTCTAAGCCCTATTTCAGTTACGTCTCTTTGAGTCACGCACGGAATGCTAGTTCTGCGTACGCTTCAACGTAGGTATCCTCCGGGTGGTCCTAACACTGACGATACCGGGCATTTTATCCCGCTGAATTTGAAATAGTTACCTCTCGAAACTAGGTCCTGTTGTTAAACTAGAGGCATTTTAGAATTATTAGTTACAATACAATAACGAAACCGTAAACTCCAAAAATTATCAAAGCTCTGACCGCTATTAGATCATTTTAGCTCAAAACAATGTAATAATACTAGACAATATTTTACTTTACAAACACATCTCCACTATATTTAAAGATGCGTAAACATATCTAAAATAGTTTCCCCATCTGTATCTAATATTGTAATGTCATGTCTTTCAGTGGCTTAACGCCAAGACTCAGTGATCTTGGAATAGTTTTATACTGCAAAATCTATTTTCATACATATCATACTTTTTATGTGGCAAGTGAGGTGTTTTGATTGTTTTAATACTTCTTGGCTTACATACGTGAAAAACATGAACACATAAAATACCTTCAACACAATCACGAAGAATTATGAAATGCAATATTTCTTTTATAGTCTCGGAAGAGGTCGAGTAAAGAATTATAATCAGCAATAATCAGCAAGCAGGACTCGTAGTAACTTCTCCTTTTCAATTGTTAACGTTGACTACTCAATAAACTTTTCACTACTCAATCAATGATAAATTTTACGAAAAATATGGCATCTAACACCGTAAAATAGTCCTCTTACTAAAGTAAATTCCGTTTAAGTAAG